TCCTGACATTAAGTGCTGGTGTATTTAAGCCTGTTCTTCCTTGGTGCCCCTTTTCGTTTGGAAAAACTTGGGTCCAATATTGGTGTGCTTAAGGTGTTGTTTAAGTGCATGTTCTCGGGGAATACCTTCGTCCCTCCCCTTTCTTGGGAATACCTTTGTCCCTTAGCTTGCACTTCTTTATCAATCCAAGCCAAAATATCTTTGGTGCGTTCCTCATCATCAGCTGCGATTTGGTCCCATTCTTGGAACTTTGCCCTCTAAAATGCCTGCACATAAAGAATACAACTTTAATCATACTGACATTATGAGTAAGTGAAACCTACATCCTACTTCTTTGCATAGACATAAATTGCTGGTGCAAAACAAAACTTAAACCAGAGAATATATGCCTAAACAGACATTACCTGTAGGTGAAAGCTATAGCCTACCTCCTTGCACAGGTATAAATTGCTGGTGCAAAACATAGATGAAAGGAGAGAATGAATGCACAACCTTACAATATCTGTAGGTGGAACTCACGTCCTACCTCATTGCACAGACATAATTGCTGGTGTAAAACAAACATAAGTGAAAGTAGATAATAAATGTCCAACCTGACATTATGTGTAGGTAAAACCTACATCCTACCTCATTGCACAGACATAATTGTCGGTGCAAAACAAACATCAGTGAAAGCAAATAATAAATGCCCTACTCTTCATTAAAGTCTAAAAATACAGGGGTGTAAACTCTTTTCAATGAACCAACATTTTCTTCCAGTTTATAGGTAAACTGTAGAATAATACAAACATTTAATGCTAGTGCAATAAGAAAGGATTACTAACCTGCTATAATAGGAGATGTTGGCGCACCTTCATACATTCCCCCGTACATAAGCTTCGAATATGTAATATTAGTTCGGAATGCATCCATGAAGGCATTCCCCCACTGGGTATCTTCAATTAACGCGAGTTGGTTCATTGCTCTTCATTTACCCTTTTCCGATCAACCTTACACGCCGTCCAAGATAGATCGATCGCCGGCTCGCTGCTAATTTCCTGTAATAGTTCCGTGCGAAATGGAAGAAAAAATGAGGGAGAAAAATAGGGTGGGTGAGGACAGAGGAGAGAGGAAATTAAAGGTTGGTTGGGTGGGATTGTGAACCGTATGAAGGGGTGGGGGTATATGGGGTACACCACTGGGGTACAAAGTGGTGTACCCATAGCACGATTGATAGAGTCCACCTCTATATCGAGTGACGGAAAAATCTATGTGTACACCATTATTGTACACCATATGTACACCATATAAAAGCCCACCCCACCCCTTACCTTTTCAGTCAGTCCCCCACCCCAATACGTCTCCCTCTTCTCTCTACCTCCCCCCCTCCCTTTGCCTTCTTCACCGTCTTCACACCATCTCTGCATTCGTCCTCTTCACAGCTCCTTCATCGTCTACATCGTCGCCCTCCTTCATCGTCTTCGCCTGGGCTCTCCCTCGACAAAAAAATCAACCCTCCACAAGTTATTCAAATTCGAAAGGTAAGTTGTTCAAAATCTAGGGTTATCATTGCTTTTAGGGCAATTCATTTATCAAAATACTAATTTTTGTCCAAATTGATTTATCAGTTTGTTATTTTTGGGCAAAATATTGCAGAAGCAATTTTGTCATTCAAAATCTAAGGTTCCCAGTGTATTTTCTCCCTATGTTGTATAAACTATCATATGTGTGAAGTATAGCATGTTGTCTGTGAAGTATATATAAATGGTTCCTCTGTGTCTGTGAAGTATGTATAAACGGTTCCTTTGTGTCTGTGAAGTCCTAATTAATCTCTTTTTTTATTGTGAAATTAGCCTTTTTGACTGTGAATCCTTTTTTTCAACTTGTCCTGCAATTATGTGAAGTGCTTCTTATTGGCTTGCTACAAATAATATAGATGCTGGTTTGGTTGGGAATCACGCACGGATGAGGTTAGAACTTGCACAGACCCTTGTGCTCTTTGTTCTGTTTTACATACGTTTTATGTCTGTTATATTTAAATATAGATATGAAATGTTTGTGACTGTTTTATGTCTTGCGTATTGTATAGGAGAATGACATGAATCAAGTCCTAACTAAATTTCTCTAATCCACAAAAGGTTTAAAGATGAATCTCCAAATCAATCTTGGTGCACTGTGGTTGTGGATAATGTTTCACAACAAAGAGAAGGGTTAGCTAAATGTCTATAAACATAAAATATTTTTGAAGTTTAGTTTGCATGCTCTAAAAATAGTTTGCTAAATGTCTATACGCTTGCAATGTCCTTCGTTGTCTCTTGCAGGTCAGGGAGTATGGAGTTATGATGTTGTCATTTGCTCAAAATCTTTTCTCTAGCATGCTTCTCATACCGGATTGCGCGACTGAGAATTTCTAAAATTTGAACTGACAATTTGTTGCAAGGCTCTCGTGCTTAAGGATGCTGACGTGATTACCTCTCGTGTTTTTTAAAATTTTTGGTGTCATCGTTGTGTGTAATGAATGATTCCTTAAATACGGTTTAGATTTACATTACTCCTTAGGTTTTTGTTCTCATACACTACCTATTGGTATAGTTTATGTACGGTTTTTGTTCATTCCTTAACTATGGTTTAGAATTCATTTTGTGTTTATGTATTAGCTGTAGTTGGTTGAGTGCCATAAACTATCGATGTAAGTGTATTTCATTGACATTACTTGTCTGTGTGTTTGTGCATGAAACATATCATATGTAAGTGCATTTCATAAATTTTCTTTGTTTGTGATAAGTAGACAATAATTTGATTGAATTGCTTTTTTTAGCACACATGAATCTCGCAAAAGTTTAATGTCTGTGAGTGCCTAAACACGTACCCTAGTCTCTATATCATAGACATTAATTTTCTGTCAATGCCTAATTACAGACGCATAGTGTTTGTGAATGTTCAATCAACGATGTTTTTTTGGACAACAATTAACGATGTTACCTACATGTAAAAGTGAATTCTACATATTGTCAATGTGTTGGTTGTTATTTAATTTTCTTTATTGACAATAGCCCCCTTACAAAGCATTAGTAACAAGTTCTTCAGAGAACCTTAATCTAAGAAACACTGTGACATATCTCAAGAGAACAAATTCTTGAGAGACTAAAATTGCTCACATACTTTGATCACACAGACACCACATGTTTGTAATGTTATAAACATAGATATTTAATGTCTGTGTATGTTATATAAAAATTACCCCATTAACCATGTCGAATAATATATAATAATAAGAACATTTCATAACCTTTTCCTATATTATAAAAAGAAATGAATTTGCATTAAGAAATGTTTGGGTTAATGGAAGACTAAATATATTCTACTTCACATCCCAAATATATTCTATTTATTCAAAAATCCCATCCTCATATTTATATGTAATTCAGGATTACCTTAGGCTTTTAGCCGTTAGGATTCACTCAGTCTGAGTTTTTTGTATTTGTTCGCTCTTTGTGTATAATTATATATATGTATTACATTACCATAATTATACCAAATAATACAATAATAAGAATATTTCATGATAGTTTTCTTATATTGGAAAAATAAACTAAGTACGGAGTATGTTTTGGTCACACAGACAACAAGTGTCTGTAATTCAAATTCATCGTAAACAGAAACTTATTGTCTGTAAAACCTAAATAAAAAATTACATCTATCAAATATACCAAATAAAGCTATCATAAAGAATGTTTCACAAAAAAAGAAAAAAATTATAATTACCATTGTTTAGTTACACAAACACAAAAAATCTATAATTCTTAATACACAGACATTTATTATTTTTGACATTTGACATGGATCTTCGTTATATTCATTGCATCACCCTTTTGTTTGCGAGTAATTTTCTCCTTTGTTGACTTAAATCAAATCTTACGTGGGCGCTCTTCCGCTTCGAATATGTAGGGTCCAAAATGGTCTAATAACATCCAGATGTTACTATATCTGTCAAACATCAAAACATTCATCACAACACTCAAACTCTTGAGTTCCAATTAACACATACATTCTCTGTCTATGTTATAGTACTGGAAATATCATATTGTCTGTAAAAATATGTGCACATATAAATATCACTTATGATCCTTCCTATTGTTGATAAAGGTGGCGACGAAGTGTGTCTAATCCAAAAAATACTCAACCAGTAACATTAAATGACTATGTCCCAAAAAATTTTCATTTTTTTAAAAGATTCACAAACAGTCCAGGCTTCTTTGACAAAATTCTCTACATCACAGTGTCTGTGTTAGTTCAAAAATTAAACATTAAGGCAATCAACAACTAAAACAAGGGTTTAATGTAACTTGCTTGCAAAAGTATGAGAGAAAACATATGGCAGCGGCCGGCGGGGGAAGACAAAGAGTAGCACCGACGGCAAGTGGGAAGACACAGAGCAGCGGCGGCAGCGGGTGGGAGGACATATGGCAGCGGCGAGTTATGCTGTATGAATTAGATCTACAAAAAATTGAAGAAAAAAAAGAAGAAAACCGAAGGAGAGAGATGGAGGGATAAGATTGAGAAATTGGATGGGAAGAAAAAAAAGAGGGGAGGGAGTAGGGAAGAGGGGAGGGAGGAGTATATGGTGTTCGCACACTGGGTACACAAGTGGTGTACCCCTAGCCGGGACTCATCGAGTGACTAGTGAGTCGTACTCTAGGTCAAACCTTTAGTAAGTAAAGTGACCCATCCAGATTGGATTATGCTATGTGTACCCCAAGATTTGTACCCCAATTTGTACCTTGCAGTTTTGCACCAACACTTTGTGTTGGTGTAAAACTAATTTTTGTTAAACGCACCAACATTTGTGTCCGTGTGAATATTTATTAACGCACCAACACTTGTGTCGGTGTAAACCATCGAAATGTTTGTACAAGCCTGTGGTGTATAAATGGGGTATATTTTTTGGTGTAAGTGTAGCATGGTCCATCCAGATTCCAGACAACATATACAAGCAGGCGTTAAGTTTCTCTGTTCGGATGGGACATGGTACGGATAAGTGCTTGTATTTTTGTGCATATACCATCATCCTCCCTCTCACAAGCTCTCAAACTTGTAAACATCAATGCACTACTAATTTCCAACGAAAAATTCCTTTACTGCTGCAAATCATCTCTCTACCATTCTCTCTCTCTCTACTCAACCCAAGATCAATGGCCCAACAATTATATCCCTCTGATTGAACTGGATAGAAAGGAAGGAACAAACTAGCACAGCATTTTGATCTCCCTCACGGTCGTCTTTAACTGCTGTTTAGCGTTTGTATGTTACCGGCAGCTTGGTGTGATTGATGCTGCATAGGAGGTAGGCGAGTAGATCAGATATGGCGGAGGTTCCCGGCGAGAAGAGTGCGACTGTGGCGCCTGAAGTGTGCCCCGGCGAGGACGGCGGCAATGTGTCGGCGTCTTTCAAGGAAGGCAAGACGTTGAGGAGAAGGGCGTCGGTGAGGCGGAGCCTGGACGCGGATGAGTTCATTAATCTGCTGCATGGCTCGGATCCGGTGAAAATTGAGCTCAATCGACTTGAGAACGAAGTCAGAGGTCAGTTGTTTCGGCTGGATCTGGCGTGATTTGGCTCGAATGCGGCCTTCTGAATTCTGATGTCCGCTTTTGATGTTCTCTGGCTATAGTTTGATTTTTGGTGGCGCATTGTTTTTGCCTCTGTGCAGACAAAGAGCGGGAATTATCGGAGGCTCAAGCCGAGATCAAGGCTTTGAAGTTGTCTGAGCGCTTAAGAGAAAAGGCTGTGGAAGAGGTTCTGTTTTCCTCTTTGTTGCTACCTTCTGTTGAGCAAAAACATACCATACACTTACAATCTTAGTGTTGTTTTCCGAGTGAAGTTGTGCATTTACATTTTGCCCTAACCCAAAATAATACTCCGTAATAATAATACTCCATTCTCGCAAAAAGGTTTCACAATTGACCCGCGTTAATTAATAAGAGTGGATGTGTGAGGTTGAATTTTGTTCAGATTTCAGAGGAATAAAAACCGTTTAGAGACCACACAATTACTTCCTCAACAAACGTACAATGAAATGTGGAATATTTTTATGAGATGAAGGAGTAAAAGATTGATACTCCTTAGTAAAAACTAAGTGTAGAATACGAGTTCAATACCATATTTTGTAATGATATTGTAGTAGTATACTCTGGCCAACCAAAGATTGCCCTATCAAGTTTAAATCCATCTATTTTTTTTGGTTTGTGAATGTTGTGATAAAAGAGGAAAAACAAGAATATGATGAAATGATGCTATGATGATCCACATCTTGACAAAATTGCCAGTTGCATAATTTTATGATATGCACTTATGCAGTTCAACTTTTAGACAAGACATGTGGCTTTTGCAACTCACTGCAGAAATTTCCTTGGATAGGAGACTTTGGAAGTCGGGGATAAAAGTTGTAGGGTGGGATTGATAGGAGTGGTTTTCTGTGTACTTAGCGCTTCTAGGGTTCACTAAGTTTATTGAGGTGCTTGTTTGTGTGGTCCTTCGTGTTAGTTGTTAGCTATTTCCTTTCCCTTTTGTACCCATGTTTTTTTTCTCTTTCTTGATGGACTTTACCATCATCTATGTTTTGCTCTTAAGATGGGAGCATTTCGGAAACAGCCTCTCTACCTTTTATGATAAGGGTAAGGTCTGCCTACATCCACCCCAGGCCCCACGGTGTGGGAATATACTGGGTGGTTGTTGTTGCAATTATACTTTATTAAAGATACCTGCTTCTTTCTTATCATAAGTCTCATGGTTACTATTGCCCTTCATTCCTTCCTAAGTGTTTTCTTCATAATATTGCTTGTTGTCTGTTCTTTTCTGTGCTGCCCCCTCATTAAGATCTGGTTGCTACAAATGGAATCTAGTGAAGTAGTAAACAATAAATGCAATCAACCGTGAGTTTCTAGACAGGAAACTAGGGATAGTTGTATTAGAAGTTATGTTTTTTGTGCCTTCATTGCTCGTGCAATCGAATCCTGAGTTATTTTATAAAGTATTGCAGTGATCACTTAGTGAATGCAATTTTTATGTAATCCTAGTGATCAAACTTCCATGCGGTCAAGATTTTGTTCCATCGCCTTCCCTTAGGGCCTTTTTGGTTGGAGGGGAGGGAAGGGGAAGTAAAACGAATCAATTGCATTGTTTGGTCTAAAATTTTGGAGGGGAGAGGAGCCAAAATATCTTTTCCAATTCCCTCCCCTCCTTTTCGTCCCCCC